AAGGTCAAAAGGAATTTCCCAATAGCCCAGAGATTTCGAGTTGCTCCCTCTTAACAAGAGAATTCCTAAACCCAAACATGCCACTGAAAAATTCTATTCAAACAAACATAGACTGTAAAAGACCCTATAACCATAGATTTAACTTAGTTAACTTTTACAGTATGATGGTTGACTGTTCATGGATTAGTTGTACTATAATATATATATATATATATGTAATAATGAGTGAATGGTTTCAGAAAAGATAAGAGACTCCAACAATTCATTTCATCTTCTATCTTACACTGCATTATAATCACAAAATTATTGTCACTCCCCTCAAACCAAATTGGTCTTCAATGATCAGCAAGCAATTGATCAATCACTCAGATGTAAAATGGATTTGGTGTTCCAAAGTTAAACCTATCCGAGCATAACTTCGACATCTGAATAGCAGTATAAATAATCTGTAGATAAGATTTAGAAATTCCCAGAGGTGACTGATTCGATAACCACGGAAATTCTACGAAGGTAAGCAGCTACCAAAGGATTAACTGCCTTAAGAAACATAAGTTATTCAAATTATATGAGAATTTAAAGAACCAGCATATTAATTAATTACACAAACTTCAAATAATTAACTTGGAACTTCAGGGAAGGACATTGACGAAAGTCCGATACACCAGACTTTTTTCCGGGTATAATCCAAGCAGACCATGAATAAACAGGAAATCTAATATGCTATCAGAAGGAACACAATAAAATGAGGTCGTGTCATGATAATTTCATAATAAACAGAACTGAAATAATTATTTTCCAACCCGAACCTAAAACTGAATTGAAACATATGCAAGTGCGTAGACAGCATTATTATGAAACTGAAACAGAGGCCTAATAAGTTTTCTTGTTTGCGATCAACAAAGGAAAACGGGAAATAAGTGACAAGCAAACAAAAATTTAGTGACAACACTATAGCACAACAAAAGGAGTAAAAAATCACATCACGAAATAAACACGAAAATGCACATATCAATCTCTATGGTCTACCAGAAAAACCCAGTTTTGGAAATCCTGCAGGAACCACAAATGGTAAGCACATTTAAGGAGGGTAAATACATATATATTATCTTCATGGTTTATAAGGAAACTAAGGCCTCCTCCAGAGATGATGATTCTGCATTCTCGGTGGGTGTTGAGCTGGCTTTTTCTTCATATGTCCAACCGGGTGGATGTGAGATTGTAACTACAACAAAGTCATTGCCCTTGACCATTTCTGGAGGCCACTGGACGTCAACTGTCTCAATAAATGGTTCAAAATATAACATCCTTGACAATTTTTGAGCCTTTTCTTTATCCTCCTCAAGCAAGGGATGCAACAAAGAAAACGCTTTCATGAACGCATAGACAAATCTAAGCTCTTCAAGAGTTGGATTCCTGAAACCTAGTTCTCCCGATGATGTACAGTGTGTAACATCAATGACAGGAAACCGATCAGGTCCTGATGCTTCTAACGACAAAGACTTGATCATTCTACGATTTGAAGGAAACATCAATGACTCAAGCTCATAAGTAACCCTCAAAAGCTCAACATTTGGAGCCCGTATCGTCTCTCTTGAATCTGTCATCAATTTAGCATCATTCTCAGTTCGAAACATGTAAAATGCGATATCCCCTCCATCCCCTCCGATGAACTGGACAAAAGGGAAAGGCTGTTTCTTGCCAGACCAATCAGAATCCTTCCCAACCCGGATACCAAACAAATGTCCTGGGCGCAATCTCTTCCATGGCTGAGTTCTAAACAAAGCTGCAGAACCTTTAAATATGGATTTAATGAAACTAGGAGAGATTCCATCAACCTTCATTAAACATGTCCCTGATCCGGGACCTAGTCCAGGACCAGATCCAAATTGGTCCTGGAATCTACCAAACAACTTCTTCAAATGCAAATCCATTTAGATCTAACTACAGGAAATAACAAGTAATCTAACAATAACCCAGATCAGTTCTCACCCAATAACACGCAATTGGAGTTTTCTTGTCCTCTACCATAAAAATCCTAACTTCCAAATTCTGAATTCCATTCACAGAAATTGCTCTAAAACCCAAACAGGAATTCCATAACTGACCCAAAATTTCACCAGAACGAGCTCTGTTAAACCTAGTAAGCAGTAAATTTACCTGTACAATACTTCTTAAATAGGCGAAAAAGATTAAAAACAGAAGAAATAGGTATTTAAGTTAAGACACGAAAATTAAATGAACAATGGAGATGAAAAGAATTGGATTAGCTTAATCAAGACCGGGCTTCATACCAACTTGTAGAAAGAGTTAGATGCTTAAAAAAATTATACCAGTGAAGTGGGTCGGACAGGAGAGATCATTTCAATTCTCAGGAATGGAGCTGTAGACTTCGGTCAATCAAGGGCTTGACTGGTCAACTGGCAAGTGAAACTGGGAAGATAGGTGGAATGTTACAGTGAAGCCACTCACGTGTAAACTCATCATCAGGCAGTATCAACCGTCGGATTATATCAAGACTAAAGACAGTGCAGATTGGTCGCGTCTGCCTCATTGCAGAATATTTGACCTTCATTTTTCCTTCTTGACCTCTATTTGATTTTAGAGTAAAAATATAATTTTTTATTAAAAAATTTGTAACTTTCTTTATTAAACCTAATTTGTAACTTTTGAAAAACATTATCTTTGAAGAATATATGCTTAGATATAACTTGAATTCTATACAATTTAATTGACACTCGGTTTCGTCATATCATTATCAATTAATATATCAACAATAGCGTAAGATCACATTTAATAAAAACAATCTTATATACATAAAATGTAACACTTTTAATTAATTAATTTTAATGTAATTAAAATTGATGTATAAATATAATTTTTAAAATTTGAATTTTTATTTAATGTAAAAAATGAAGAAAATTAATTAGATGATAAAATTAAAAATAATTTTAAGAAAAATGGGTGAAAATTTAGTTTTGTGAGTATTTTTGAAAGAAAAATCGGAAACCGAATGTCAAAATACAATTTAAGAAAATTGTGCCACGTAGGACGCCCAGTCAGCAACCTCGACGAACCCGCATGATAAGGTACGCAGACGCAGTGTCATGCAGGAGGCCACGCTGGTGATCCGCGTGCCCGCGATCGGACGGTTTGGATTTGTTCCCGCACGTACAGATGGTCCAGATCCGTTCTCACTTTAAACGTAATTGAATGGTTCAGATCAAATCGCAATGAACGGTCTAGATTCACTCTTTATTTAAACGCGATCGGACGATGCAGATCAAACGCGATAGACGACTCATATTAAAAGAAAACAGATATAAATTACCATCTTCACACCAAACTCTAACCTTAGCCACCAGACCCCCCCGTCGGAGAAGAGGAGCCAGTCGCCGGGAGGAGATCCAATCATCACCTACCGCCGCGCTGGAGCCAATTCTGATTTTCTCCAATTGCTCAAAATTTAATTTTGAACACCCTCATGGTCAAATCGGAATAAAAAGACCGGCGGATGAGTCGAAAACTGCTGGCAAAAATTGGCGGCGCCGCTGCGAAAAAATACAAAAATCGCCTCCAATGAGCCCCTTCCCGATTCCTGTTTCGTATAATTTTTTTACCATTGTAATCACCACTCCTTTTTCTACAGGTTGACCGAAGCAAAACACCCAACTGCGAAGGTGAATCGGCGGAGCTGCCGCACCAGAGAACCCTGTCACCGGTAAGCTTTAAATTTTTAATTTTTTTTAGCCAACCGAGGCCCCTTAACGTGTTTTCTCACAAGAATTAGTACAAAATCAGCCAAAATCTAACAGAAAAAAAGCTAAAAAACAGCGAACCCGAAGCAAACCACTGGCCCATGCGACAGTGCCATCGCTGAAGCACGACAGAGCTGTCGTGCCGAAATTTTGGAATTGACCAAAAAGAGTTTCTAACACTGATTTTGGATTTTTTAGGATATTTATAGGTACTTGAAGTGTATTTTAATTTCCGGAAAAAAAAATTCAGGGAACCCGAGAACTGCCAATAAGCACAATCAAAAGACTTAACGTTCGGACACCAATTCAAGTAAGAATCCTTCACTTTATTCTCTGTTATGGAATTAAAGTTTAATTAATAATCATACGATATTTTGTGTAATTTAGAAAATGTTCGTAATTAATTACAGGTTACTAATAGAGTCGGGATCGATTACTTATTACTGTTTTCCATGTTTAACTGATTGCTTGATTTTACAATTTTCGAATGTATGATAATACACTAAAATTGGTATGATGATGCAATTGTGTTTCTTTGATGTATGGATTGCTTGTTTTATGTGATTACGGTTAAATTGAGTAACTGAAAATTAAAGGTAAACAGAAAATTATATGATTATGTGGATGGATGAACGACAGCCTTACTGGATATTTTGGAAGATAGTGGACGAACCGGGTGCATAGGGAGCCCTACCGTAAACGTTATCTCATACTGGACGGGGTATCGAGAATTGGTAATTTAGTGCTCATACCGGACGGGGTATAAGGATGACCTGTTTCACCCTCATACCGGACGGGATATTGAGAAATGGTTTCTTTTGGCGCTCATAGCGGACGGAGTATGGGGATGACCCGTTATTTGAAAATGTTGAATAAAAGTTCACGTGTAGTAGAGATATCTCTATGAACCCTCATGGATACCAGTAGGCTGATAAAAGAGAAAAGTTATTGTTTCAAATGATTGCGTATGAGATTATGGTGTTGTTTATATTCTTGACTATATAGGTTGGTTTAAAAAATCTCACTACGGTAAGCAGGTAATAAATAGTTTTTATTCATGATAAACGGATTTATTTAAATTAAGAGTTCCATTAATTATTTTTATATTTTTTACCAACATTCATTTCTGTGTCGGTGAGTAGCGTGATATTCTTATTGGGGTAGTGTAACTCATTCTTCCATTAACTATTTCAAATTAAAAGAACCAATATTCAGAACCCCGATCCACAAGAAGGTTGCGAGTAGAATGCCCAATCGTTTATTTTTCATTTGTTTCCTTAATTTTTCGTTATTTCTTTTGAAATGGTTATTCCCGTAACCCTATTAGGTAATTTGAATTATTGTGTAAAGAATGTAAACATTAACTATTTATTTCGCTTCTGCATTTAATTTATAATTTATTTCTTTTTTAGTACACAGACTATTTCATAAAATATTGTATACAAATACAATCTAATATACATATACATAAAATAATTCATATAAATACACTCTTATATATAAATGTAACCTGATATATCTATAAAATATATAATACTGCATGCATAACTTAGTGATATAAGGATACAAACCTAATATAAAAAATGATAACTATTTAAATAATAAAATATTACACAAATTACCTCTAATTTAATCAATTACAGAGTGCATAAATGATCTATATTCTTATTAATTAATCAATTACACACACTAAGTAATACTAATTGTCATATATATATATATGTTCATCATTAAGATAATTATTTTTTCTTTAGTTTAGATGACATGATCACCATTCTTCTTTAACTTATTTGACTTCTCTTTTTGCCATATTTTTTCTCTTTCTTACCATTTTTCTTATTTCTTCTTCCTTATTTTTATTCTTAAGAACTTGATCAACATCTTCAAATATGTCTCCTCATCTTTATCATTAAATTTTAACATTAAATTCTCTACATATATGCGACTGTCATTCAGTTTTCTCCAGCAACTGTTAATTTTTTCATGTAGTTTATGAGAATCAACATTCAAATAATTCTTTGCAAGCACCTTGAATAATTCAAACCAACAACAAGAGACCTCTATATGCTTAACCATTCTTCATTTCCTAGTCAAGTTTCTTATTTTCCTTCATAATTTTATTGGTTTAATTTCCTTTACTTTTGACTAGTAAGGTGAAGTGACAAGGGACATCCTCAATGACAATAATGGATTTATTGGAAGTCTCTACGAGCAACTTCATAAGCTTGACGTTGTTGTTAGCCGTTGTCAACTCGAGATCATACACACCATAATCTAAACAACCAATCATTACAACAATTCCATGTACTTTTAGGACGAGAAAGGAGATACCCCTTCTCTCTAAGTTTACAAGCTTTAGGATACCAATTCTTGTTCTTACTGAACTTAATTATATTTTGATTTGTTTAAGGCATAGTTGATATAAGTTTTAAAAAAAATAAATGTTATATGAATATCTTGAAATAGAATTTTAAGAATTCGTGAAAGCTCCAATGAACATATAATATTTCATTGATTATATTTTACACAAAGCATGTTTAATCGAAATCTTGAGAAGGTGATTCTCTAATTTTTATTTTGTTTACGACTTTTGAGAATAGAGATCTTATACATTGAGGTTCAATTGTGATTTTAAAAATGTATATTTGAGATAAATCTATTTGTTACTATCCAAATTTAAGATCCACTTAGATTTTAATTTTATTAAAAATTTAAAAGTACACAATAAAACTAATAAATATAAAATAATTAATCTCTTTGTTTTATGTCAAATTTCTAGTGAAGATTATAAGAAAGACAAAATTATAGGTAAGGAAAATGAAGATTAAGATGTATTTTGTTTACGCTGACATGTTCTTTTATTTAAAAAGGGCTAAATTAAAAATTAAATAAGAAGTTATCTTATTTTAAGAATTTTAAAAGTTGAAAGACCTATTTGAAAATTTAGTAAACTTCAAGGACCAAATGTTAAAATAAAATAAAATAAAATAAGAAAGGACAAAGGCCATGGCTTTCTTCCTTAAAAACCAGTGCCTTCGTCTTCGAGTTACACAGTTCGCTTCGCTTTTTCCACTCCCTGAATTTTCAGACGCCCATAATTGCCATTACATAGAGAGAAGTATGATTTTTGTCGGTGGGGATTCGTTTAATTTTGCTAACTCATCTTCCTCATCATCGTCTCAGGTATTATCTCTCTCCCGAGTTTTCTGGTATTTGTTCAAATTGCTCGGCGTTTGTTTGCTTATAAAATGTGGGAAGAAGGAAAGAATTGAAGATCGATCCGAAATCCATTGATGGGTTGCACCTGATAGAAATTAATTTGTTAAATATGAGCTCATTCAGTTGCATTCTTAAAACTGTAACTTATGTCATATTCTGCGGACTTATCCTCTTTAAGCCAGTTCAACCAATACCCGAAAAGGCTCAAAAGAGTTGATCTTTCGAACACTTTATCCCTCTCATTATAAATGGCTTTCTAGATATTTTAATGGCCATCAAATAATCTTTTGGGAATTCTCAAGCACTATGGATTCCTTTCCCTTATTATCGATTCTGTTTGGGCCATGCTAGTTATATCAGAGAACTTGTGACCTTACTGAAGTCTCGTTAACAAGTAAAAAAGTGAGTATATTTTTTGCTTCTGGATGAAATAACTGTTTATGTGATAAGATAAACTAGGGAGTTGAATTTTTGGGCTGCCGAGATTGGTGCTCTTTTTTACCCACTTGTTTTACTTGTAGTGTAGAATAACTGATTGCCTAAATTATATTCTTTTCATAGTAAATAGCTACACATTTTTAAATGTTTCTGTTAGCAGGGAAGTAATCTGCTGCTTGATTTAATGAAGCACCCCATCTTGGAATCTGTTTCTCAATCGTTCAAGTCTATTCAGGAGAGGAAAGTTTCTTCCAGAGAATATGGTTCTGAGGGATTAACAAAGAGTAAATATGTTTACATCTTTCAGCGAGAATATGCAACTGTTCACCCTGGGCTTGTGGATGTATGTAAGTTTTTCTATAATGTAAAAATACAGCATCCTTTTGGTTTACACAGTAGTGAAGGTGTAGTTTGTTGGTAATTTTGGATTCCTATTTGAAACTATTGAATTATCCTGGACATGATTGGATTATTTTTACTATTATAGTCTGTTAAATTGTTTCGATTCACTTTCATGACCAAAATTTGCACCCTTCATAATGGGTGCTATTTTGTTGTTGACAATTTCTGGTCTTTCTGGAATGTGCTTGCATTATTTCTGAAAATTTCCTCAAAATGAACATGCATAAGTTGTTGCCTGATCTTCTAGGCTAGGTAGTTTCATGATGTGAGAATCACCTCTTTTGTGCATCACAATCATTAGTCGAGGCATTATTGCATGCAAAAGCACTTTTATATAAAAGGTTTTGTTTGCATTGGTTCTTTTACACAAGTGAAAAAGGTCAATTCACATTTCTTAACAAGCACTGATATCTTGAAACTTGAAATCATTGTTAACAGTCTGGACTTTTCATACCATTGCAAAGATAGAACTGTATAGTTTGAAGAAATTGTATATTAACTTTGTTGATTTGGAGAAAATACTTCTATGAATGTATCATTAGGAGGAAATGGATATATATTTATATAAAAGTATGGTTGACCTATTGGCACATTTCCTAGTTGTCCTTCCGATAATAAGGAAAATACATGAATGTCTATAAATGCATTGACCTTCCATGTATTCAATCTTACTATATTCCCAACACTCCCCTTAAGTTGGAGCATTGATGTTTACTATGTCCAACTTGAAGAAATATAATCAATCCTATGACCACCTAGGAGTTCTTTGAAAATATCAACTACTTCTTCTCCAGTTTTGACATGACCACTGGAGATATATCCTTGCTTAAACGGATACTAGAGCAGTCATGGAAGTGCTTGCTTTCAACCCCAATTAAATTAAAGGGCAAAATTAGTTTTGCTGCTGGATTAATTGAATATTAGGTTGTGAAATCACTTCTCCTGTTCACCTGTAAAGTGCTGGTGCGTGATAGCTCCTGGTCAACTGAATATGAGTTTTGGATTTATAGTAGTTCTGATGGTTCTATTTATGTTATCTCCTCTTTATTGACTTATTATGTGCAAATACTCAAAAGTTTTATCCTTCATTGTTCCATGGACGAGAAGTTTGTCGGCACTGATGAAGCAACAACCTGTGTGGGCCTAGTCATCCGGAACCAACTAACTGGAATGTAAGACTTTTGGTTTAATAGGAAATGGGAAAGAAAATCACGAGGAACTTCTATTCTAATATGTTTTGCTTTTGGAATTCAGGACTTCTGTAGCACATTTGGATTCCCCCAAAGTTGTGGATTTTGGCCTTACCCAGATGCTATCACTAATTGTTGATGACACTTCTGATGCTGACTTAGATGTATTCCTTCTGCTTCTTGTTGATAGTTTCTCTAATTTACTTTTAAGTATTTTACATGCCTATATGTGAATAAATATGAAAATGCAGGTGCATTTGATTGGTGGCTTTGAAGACATTGCTTCTAAAGTCTGGCCAAGGATCCTACCTACTTATTGAATTTTCAAAGATGTAATTACCCGCTCAGAGGCAGAATGATTAAAGTTCGATATATTGACCTTTGTATGCAGCATGCTCATTCAACCACTGGGTCAGAACGCATTTCAAAACCAGATGGTTATTCCTTTCCTCTGTGTACCAAAATTATCGAAAGTTTGCAGAAGAGACCAGAAAACTTCCACATTAAGACCCTCTTTGTTCTTGGGCATAACACCAAGTGGGACTCTCAGGGAAATGCATACCCCATTTTTCACGGGTTCATGGTTAGCTTGAACTCTATCTAATTCTCTATTTCTTTAACAATCTGTTTCATTTAATTTCTATCATATTCTTTTAATTTATTAACAGTTTAACCTTGATAGGTACAAGTTATTGTAGTTCTTTTCATGTCTAAATCGCTTCAGTAACTATTTTTAATTCCTTTGGTTTGATTTTTGTTTCCTACTTGAATAAATAGGAAGTGGAAATCAATTTCCAAAGAATTAACGTTAATAGTGATTCAAACATGAAAATTGGTATCATATTTCTTCATATAAAGGATATGCTAGTAATTAAGAAAAGGACATGGTAAGAAATGAATGAGGACTGGACTTTGATCTAAATGTATTTTCTCTGCTGGGGTACACTGAGATAAACTTTGTACACAAGAGTTGCAGCATGTTTATCCAGCCTTTTTCTTTCATGCAACATGTCTTCAAGCATTAAGGGAACTTCTTTTTGTACAATGCAATATATAAAGAATTTGCATAGGGCAAGAAGTAAAACTGACTCTCCAATGTAGAAGTTTGCAGTATTAAGTTAAAACCTGTTTTCTTAAGCATTTAGAGAATCAATGTTTCTTTACCTTGATTTATTCATAGACGGGAAAAATAACAGTCTCATGGCACAGCATGAAGATGAGCATCATTAAGGGAAATGCAAATGATCTTGTATGGATAATTCTTATATCCACCTTATATTTGCTTAGATAGCCTTAACTTCAAGTCTGTGGCATGAAAAGGGTTTTTAGCCTTTATCATAGTAAGTTTTGGGCATGAGCCTGCTATTTGGAATCCTATTCCTTATAGACTTATTCCTTTGCCTTCACAGTCACTGAAGCCATGGACTCACTCGTAATTTTGACTGCTGGACTGGAACCCATGTGGTGTAAATTATCACACAACATACCCCCACAGATTTTAAGTAAAAGAAAGAAAAAGAGAGTACATAATGAATTTTATACGACTCAAGCAATATGATTAGATCCATGAAGCCACCTGTGATTTTCTCCTTGAAGAAGTGGATTAAAGAGAAAACAAGAAAGTGCAAGAGTGAGCCAAAACTATACAACCAACTTGAGAAAGCAAAGCTAATGTGAAGTGTATTATGATACAAGTATGCATTATATTTGAAGGAAGGAAACAAATACTTAAATGAAACTTGTATCTGATTAATGCTAAGTGTTTGGCTCATTTGCTATATCAAATGATAGTCGAACTTCCAAAGTGTTCTACAATTTCTCAATAGGTGGGAACTCTTCTTTTCAAAGAATAATTTATGATATTTATCATTCAACATATAAACATGGTGTCCTTATTATTGTTGATGAAATGTTTCATATCTTATTTATTAGAGTGCTTTTCATTTCTGGAACTTTTGATGTAGTTGATC